CTTAACAGTAAATCGTTGGTTATGTCGATGGATTGGTGGATTCAACTTTCAGCCTGCATTCCTTGAGTATTTTCTCTACATTCAATTAATTATCAGTTATACATCACAGAGAGCAAAATGTTTCTACAGATATGGTATCATTTAACCATTAATTAATGTGATTAGAAAGATAGAACAACTTTAGGGTAATATACGTAGGGGTATGCATAGATTAGCAGATGATATATAGCATCTGGCAAGGAAAACTTAGAGAGCTTTAAATAAAATGGAAGCGGTATTGACAAAGCAGTATTGCGTGAAAATAAAACACAAAAATTTTAGTATGCAAGGGAAGAAGAAGTAGGGAAACAGGGAATATAAAGATAGGAAAGATATCTAGGTGAGATAACTCAGAAGCAGCAGATATAGCGCAAAGTGGATCATAGCCTTTAACAAAAGAAGTAACATCTGTGCTAACGAACGGTTTATTTTATTAATTACAAAAAAGATTGTTAAAGGTGTATGACTGTACGGGTGCGAAACATAGACATTGGTGGTGAGGATACCGTCGATGGAGAAGGTTAGAAGTGAAGAGATATTAGAAAGAATAGGAGAACAGAGGACTCTATGGAAGTTAATAAGAAATAGGCGAGGTAGGTTGGTAGGACACCTTCTCGGACATGAAGGTCTAGTTAGAGACTTAGATTAGATTGCTGTTCATGAATAGTTAAGGATGTGGAATGTTCTAATTTTAGGGAAATGCGAAGATTAGCTCAGGATAAGAAGGAGTAGAAGTGCGTGTCCAACCAGTCTTAGAACCGACAATCTTATGATAATGATTACAAACAAATGACGTATATTGTTTTAAAATCGCCCATTCAAGTAATCTATCTGTCACCCTCTGCATTAAAATAAGAACTGGACACGACAAGATTTAAAAATTGATTTGGTATTATAGTTAGAATTGATTCTTTGTTGCTGCTGGTTTTATTATATCTATTTTAACAAAGCCAAATAATTTCCATTGTCATCTATTGTAGGTAAATAATAAGTGTGATAGTCTAATAACGTTGCATGTCGTTTAATAAATTGGTTTTGATTTGAACCTAATGCTTCTTCATTCGTTTAACATTAAATTGTTGCTTACGTTCGGACATATCTACGATATAACTTTTTGACGTCAAACACGTGGTAATTATAATACTTTCTTCATAAAAAAATTTAAAATTTATTGCACTTGTTATTTTACAACAAAAACCTGCATATTTTGATTTAATAGCAGGTTCGATATTGCTCAGTAATCGTTTTGTAATGCAGAAGTTGATTCTTCCATCAGCATTATTGCCAATTTTAATGTCAACGACATTTACTTTTTCATTCCTTACAAATTATTACGTAAACTCCTTGAAATATTTTGCCTATGTATTCAACATATCGAAACTCATTTCCCGTTATTGCCAAATTAAATTTTACCGGTTCGATATTGCAATCAATTTGTTCAGCAAAATAAAATTTCACTTACTAATTAGTTTCAAGTACACCCGCAAAGCTGTGTTTAAAAATTTGAAAAGTATATTATAATATTTTTATTTAATCAACATACTTTCCACGTGTAAAACAAAATTTCAAATAATCTGTAAATTGAATTAATATACAATAAATACACCAAACGGAAATGCTTAAAGAAATTGGAGATAAATAATGCTGTTGAATTAATTTATTACGAAATTTCCTTTTAATCAATTCTCCATTTCTTATTGTAATGATGTCGTTATTAAGATTATGTTCTTAAAGTACTTTTCAGATAAAATGATGCAAGTTACTACAAAGTATATACAAATTGTATGTACACATATTTCGTATAGTTCACAGTTCATTTACAATTTCATGATTTCTACTTTTCCAAAAATAAATAAGTAAGTGATGCAATACTTATAAGAATTAATAATTAATAATATAAATTTAGCTACCTCATTTATAATTATGAAGGGAAATCTATTCTAGTTCAAGAGTTAAGCTGCCCAAAGTTCAATTTTTTGCCAATTTGAAATAGCAAATTCTAAGACTTTCAAACCAGAAAACAAAACTTACAAATTTTTGTCAATCCTTGACTGAAATAATTAGATATCCTGTCAATATTCAGTTGCAACAGTGAACTACAAAATCATTCTACCTTAAAAACCTTCTTGAAGGAAAACTATCTTCAAAGTCACAAACATCTTCAGAAGAATTTCGAGATAATTTTTGGAAATTGTTGTCAAAGAATAATTTTCCTGCAATAACGAAATCTGACCTTTTTAAATTTTGTCTAGTTATAGATCAACTGAGAGTAAAACAAGAGTAAAGAAAAATGAATTAATTTATTTTGTGATTAACTATTGCATACTAATAACGAATGAAAATACTGGATCCTTCTTGTTTAGTTATAAGGACTTTATGTTGCATTTTGTATACGTACACATCTACTTATTAGGTAGTTAACAAGATAGAATGTAATGATACTAGCACATAGCCTGTTTGGCAGGTATCGGTTTTAGTTTTCTTTTTTCTGGTATTTCCTACAAGCGTCTTTTTCTCTTTTCTATTACTAGTAAGAAACGAAGAATATTGGACGACTGAATAGATAGAGAGAGCAGCAGTCAGGTAGAACAATTCGATCAGAATAGCAATTTTACAAAAATTTACTGATCTAAGCATGTCCTTCGAGAAATTTTACCACAAAGATGGAATTACAGTCGCTACGACGAAGTAAGAGATGTTGTGGCCAAAGACTTTTCTATTATGACATTATTTGATGATGACACATGATTGATCACGTTACACAGTACAATTTCTGTTTAAATTTTCATCAACTCTTCGAACAAAATTTAGGGTTACCAATTAAAAATTTTAAAAAATACGAATAAGTATAGTGACTACAGTTTGTGTGACATTCCATAAGATTGCCAGTAAAGGAATATAAAAATTTTATTTTTCCTAAAAATTGAAAAATCCGGAGATAATTTTTTTATAAACTGGAATCCGAAGAAAACTTAATTTTTCTGTAGTTCCCTTATTAAAACTAGAGAGTTAGTAACCCTAATTAAATTTAAAATCAATCTTCAATCCGGTACCTTTTAATTCTCACAGTTTCCCAACTGCTTTCCACGAGATACCCCCTTGCTATCATAAAGTAGACAATTTAAACGGATTAATTAATGTGAAAACACATTTCTATAGATTTTACACTGACTTACTTTAATTATTTTTGTTTCAATTGTAAAATGTATTTTATGGTTTTCAAATACATTTTGAGTTCACATACCACTGTCAAGTATGTACGCTGTATAGGTATTTTACCTTGACTCGCTTTTTACATTTTTCCACGTGGAAGATACATTTTTATAAACAACAAACAAATAAAAAACTGATAGGCAAAATTGCGCGCATTAATTTGTTAAAAAGTACAGTTGAAAATAAACGTTCTATTGACAAACCAAAAATTTATCAGACACTATCAGTAGACAGACATGCAGCTCGTCAGGTATTTAAAAAAAATACACTTACATATCATCAACCTCAGTTGTTTACATGCAACTACAGGTAATGTAACGGTAACAATGTACAATGAAACATTACTAATTTTGTACTTTCTAAGAAATAAAGTTAAAATTTATTGTTTTTAAATTCGTAACGCATAAATACTGCTGTACGTTCGTATTAATGAATTAAAAACAAATTGAAATTAATTCTACTTCTACGGCATAAATATATGTCCTTAATATGTAACTAATGGCAACGGTTTTATTAGAAGACATTGAGGAAAGGATTGACGTCATTTGAAACGAACCGTTATCTGTTATGATCAACAATGGTTTCTGACCGTCATTTGTTTATTACTTTTATTTAAAAAACTATTTCATTTTGATAATGATACTTGCGAAATATTATAGGTAAATTATTTTATTCCACCTTTTACTTTTCTAATTACGTAGATTTTGTCATTATCGTAATCACTTAACCGATAAAATGGAAAGTCATGCAGAAAGAAGTGCCTACTAGATAGTTATATAATATTTACCTGTGACAAATACCAACGTAAGAAGATATAAATTAGAAGTTTTGCATTTGCTGTTTAATAGACACTAAAATATTATAGAAATTCGATTTTTGTTTTGTGAAAAGTATTGAGAAACAGCAGATTTAAAATATTTTAGGTATTAGCATCCTAGCAGTCAAAACCATTAATTAAAAATGGGAAATTCTTTTAAATTGCTTCAGGAATGTATCGTTTCATTGTTGGTATTTCTAAAATCTAAATAATTACTTGATTAGGCACTTTAGCAATCAGATAATACATAGGTATAGGTACTTATATTGAATAAAACTGAAGTGTCATCATTAATTTTAAAATAATTGCTTTTTTTGAGCTCATATAGTTATTTGTTTACACCGCTTACCTATTTACCTGATTAATTCAATTTTTTTTTACTGTCGCTTTGTACTGGTTAATTTTCGGAACTGCTGAGTTAATTCAGTTTTCATCATTTTTCTTTTTATAATATTATTTACTTAAAAATAAGTATAGGGTGTGGATATTTAAATATCTCCTAACACAGGATATAAATATCAAAAGTTTATTTCGTCTTTAAGAAGACACTGAAGTAAATATTAAGTTTCTAAGGTAGGGTCGATAGGCATCATTAACCCCGATAACGTAACGCCTTCTGCGAGAACCTACAATCTAAAAATCAATACTGTAATCTCATTTGAAGAAGTCCTCACGTAATGACGCATTTTCATTAGGTGCATTTTTTTAAATATGTAGGAAACTGTCTATAACTACAAATATATATTTGCCAAAAGCAATCATGAGTCCTGTCCTTTAAAAAGCTTTACCTAAAAGATATGTGAGGTATTTACCTTCACCTTGCTTCGCCCATCAGGCTGAATAAATCAATAAGCACTACATTAAATTATCTATAGATTGCCAAAATAAAATTCAAACTGTGCTAAATAAATAAATTAAACTTGGTACTCACATTACAAGTATGCGAAGCTGTGAAAATCTGGGCCTCTCGATTTTGATGATCAAATACCCAAATACTGCGGTATTTTCGTCAAAATATCCAAATAAATGTTCTTTAGTTATCACGAACTGCTAAATCAGCTGAAGGTTCTGTTACGTTCAAGTCGTAGAAGACAATATTCTTGTGACAGAAGTGAGTAACACTATTTTCCATATTACGATCAAGTCAACCACGTCGACTAAAGTAACACTGACTCAATGTTTGGCTTTGCTTTTGCTTTAGCTTTGGCTGGGAGTTCGAGAATTACACACAAACATACATACGTACAAGCCGGAACAACAGTGTTTCGTTCTATAGGTAGGGGAATATAATTCAGCTCGGTTGGCCTCAAGGTGGACGGATTTTTAAGCATAGGAATGGAAAATGTATCGATTTTGGAAAAACTGAAAAATATCTACTGATTTTCCTCATCAAAGTCGTACATTAAACTCAAATGTAAGTGGAAACAAAATAAATATGAGCAAATAAGTATAAAGTCCTGAAGAAATTGACATTCAGATAAATCAGCCCAAAATAATACATATATCTAATAATAAAAGGAAATTGTTGCAATGCCTTAGTAACTGTTACAATCTCTCGAATAAAATTTTTTCCTTGTAAAAGTCCTTGCAAAGGATAACGCTGAAGAAACTAAATTACATCGTATTCCAAAGGAAATAATAAAACTTTCAGATTCTTTGCAAAATTATAAGATATTTGTTCTTTTAAAGTTTTTTGATTCGATATATAATTAAAGAGTAATTAACAATTGAAAACTGGCCAATCACAATGCGCTTTTTCTATGCTTCAGCAATCGATACTGAGCTTTACTTACACTACCAATAAAAGGGCCTCGTCCCAATTGGTTATTCATTCTAAATACGATAAAAATATTATAAATAAAGGAAAAAGTTTTAAAATTTCGAAAATAATTTTTCCTCGAAGCACTCGAATATTTTGTAGGAACCTAGATATTGCATAGAAGTCCGTACCTTAATTGTGGTAGGAATTTGTTGTAACCGTTTTAAAAGGTTTCTCTTTCTAAAAGCTCTCTGTTGATATATATCGATCTTTTTCCAGAAATTGATTGTAAAGGACGGCAATGCCAATGCGCATGCCCTTCGGGAATGTTCCTTTTTATTTGATACATCCTTTATCAAAGCTCTCCAGTAATTTACGCCTTCCTGCCATCAGCATCTGCTGAACAATTACAATTACTGAACAGCCATGCAATTGTTTCATTAATGCAAGAATATTAATGAATTAAGTAATTTCTTTTTATTTTGGATTTTTACTCGTAACAAAAAAGGATACAGATACAGGTTACAGATATAATATACATACAATTTTAATGATAGAAGTTGTTACCCATGTAATTTTCAAAAAGTGAATAAATTTTTTTGTATTGAGCTGTTTGAAATCTGATATCCAGAAGTATGCAGTGTAAAGGACTATTTTCTATATATAGACTATATCTTCTTACGTTGGTATTTGTCATTAGCTTACTAGGTATTAGAAGGAATAGGACAACAGAGCCAATAAGAAATAGGCGAGATAGGTTAGCAGGACACCTTCCCAGACATGAAAGGCTAGTTAGATATATTAGAGCAGAAATAGGGGTTAGGAGAAGTACAAGTAGACCCAAATTATAGGGTTGTTCGGAAAGTCATTTCGTTTTTTTTTTTGTGGAAATGAAAGACAGTTTTCATATAATAAACAAATACTTTATTAAATTATATATTGACCGTTCTGGTCCAACACCTTTTGCCATCTTTCTGGTAGTAGCATAATTCCACGCTCATAAAATTTTTGGTCTTTGCTGGCAAAAAACTGATCGAGGAGGTTTTTGACCTCCTCATTTGAGGTGAAGGT